ATTGTCGTTCACCGATATCACAGCGCTGAGCTCGCATATATACAGTCGCCATTTTGATATCGGTGTATATGGATAAAAGTGGGAAAACAGTAAGGATGCACAGACCAGCAAGCCGCTATACATCGAATGACAAAGCAGTGTTACATTCTGCCCCTCAGTCGCCTACATGGCCATCGTTGTACTGGCTCACCACTGAATGTCGCGTCAGAGCACTTGCGGATGCGACGGTAGGTCGGACTGTGCACTCCTGGAAAGAAGCGAAGGAGATCTCATCAGATGAGAGCAGGACGGAACAAGATGACGAAAGGCCAAGCAAGGATGCCATTGTCGTCATTGCCCTCGCACTCTTAGGACAGAAGATTCGACACTGTCACACCATTTGCTGTACCACCAGCGCTCTCGAGGAGGAGGCCGAGATCACCCGGTTCGACGTGCACTGAGTGCAAAGCCATCGAGGTCTTGACTTTTGATTCTCTGTCGATGGCGACCAAGCTCATCAGGTGTGCCTACGTCTGATGCATCTCCGAGACCCCCTTTCCCTTTTCCCTGGCGAAGATCACTGAAAAAACCGACGTCAACTTCATCTATCTAGACTTGCGAGAGTCTACTGCCTCCAAGTGCGGACAACGACTATTCGTCACTTGGTAGAAGGTCCTCTACGACCTTCACTGCCCAAACGAAGACCACGAGCAGTCATCTATTGCGCAGGTGGAGATACGGATCTGGCGCGGTCAAAGTTTGTAGGATGAGGGACTCGTGGAAACCTTGGGGAGGTACAGCAGACTGGGTGTCAGACCCAAAGCTGTACAGCCAAAGTGAGCATGCTGTAGGTATGTTCAACTTTAATACTGAGAGTCGAGGTTAAATGTTCTTTTAGTGATTTCCATAGTCATGACGAGCTTGCAACGATGTAGCCGCGTGCTTGTTTTACATGATATCGAATTCGACAATGAATTTATATGACGAACGTCACTAGGAATGAACTAACACCTGAATGTCAAACTTCGAGAACCACCCCAAGTGGTCCTGGTCATGCACATAGCGGCTCTTCTTGGATCCCCTTGTTAGGTAACCTTTGATCACTTCCCTTGCCTCGCCTTGCACCGGGAACGGAATCTCTATTCTTGCCGTCATCATCGTGCCCACGTCAAACCAATCATCATAGAAATCCTCGAAATCCTTGAGGGATTGTCTTCGTGCAAGCAGTATCCTAACGTCCTTCTCTTTTCTAGAGCTGACATGAAGCGACTTGCAGAGCCACTGGAGCTGTTGGGAGCATGAATCCCTAGAGTGGATGCTCACGCGCAGGAAACCAAGTTTGTTGGGCTTGGTCAGGTATTTGTCCAGATATTCTATGCCTGGTCAAGTCGCTAGCCATGACGAAGAAGGATAAGCTCACTTTCCAACTGGAACCCAATGTCCAATGACTGAAGGTTTTCACTCCCTTCAAGGAGCTCCGAGAGTTCGAATAACTGCCGACAACTGTTGTAGTCATCTCTGGAAGCAGAGGAATTCACTTTGAGTTGGAGCACGCGAAGGTCCTGGAGGTTGAGTGTGTCGTGGATGCATGTGAGAGTGGCCCGGAAATTGATGGGTTCGACAGTGCTGATAGTGAGCGTCTTTGGTTTGGCGCGGTGCGAGAGTGGGAGCGTGTCCCAGTCGTCCGAGTACGAGACGGTGTAGACTGGTGGAAAGACGACATTAAAGAACTCTAGTGAAGTGAGGGACGGCAAGCATTGAAGAATTCTGATCAGGCTAGGGCGAGCGATGTCACAGTCCCTGGAGTCCACGCAGAGGTGCTCGATCCCTCCGCGGTGATATCGCACGCTGTTAGAATCAGGATTGGTGGTAAACTTCACTCGGATGATGGAGAGTCCCTTGAATGACTTGAGACAAAAGAGCAGATGCACCATCTGGTCTACGTCGGAGAACGCTATGCCCTCCAGCTTAACGTGCCGCTGAGAACAGTCGAATTCGAAGAGTTCTCCACGCTTGAACCGCCGCCATAAGCTGCTCTCGCTAGAGATAATAAGCTCCGGGTTGGCGGGTCGGGGTTCCCCGTTGAAAACGTCGTTGTACGCGGCTAGGTGTGTTGTCGACATGGGTGGAAAAGTGGGTGGGGTGTTTGTAAGAGACTTGAGAGTTCGAAGGGAACAAAAGTGATGGTGGCATATTGATTGTCGACTGTGCGCCACAGGTTGAACCTCAAACGGAGATCGGCGAAAACAATAGGAACTATAAGTGTAAGATCAATGAAGAAAGCCATATCAATATCAATGTTTCTTTGCCGGTCACACGCTTACAATTGAAAGACTTGAAGGTACTTATAGTGACCGCTTTGGAATGCATCCACAGGAAACATTAATTGGCTGCTTGTACCGCGAGTTTTCGCCGTGCTTCGTACCAGGCGTCTCCCCGAGAGCATTAGGAACAAGGTAGTATTTAATATTCACATCACTAATGCAAAAACGGATAAGCCACAAGAGATCGTGTTGCGGAAAGGCTAAGCACGAATGCGAAGTTTAACAGACTCTTTCGCAAAACTGTCGCCAACGCCCCCGCTGTTGACTGCACAAGTACGATTAGAGCAAAACATCCGAAGTATAAAATGTACAGGAATAATAACTCAATACCAATTTGTGTACCGGTAAGATGGCGAGGTGCTACGAGATTGGACCTACGTCGTGTTTTGCCCCTTCAATAAAGTCAGAAGCATGACCCGGTTCATGACCTCTGTTCCATGAGGACACTCGCCGCGGCCGACCTCCGCCATTTTCTTTTGCCATTGGGGGTATACAAGAGGGTCAGCGAAGTTGTCGACCAAATACTTGACCTCCATATCAAGTATTTTAGGGTGCCTAAGGGGGTCATTATTAAGAAACAGGCCGTAAAGCGAACGATCACGTACTGGCCACTGAATTGTGAGAAGACTTCGGCGATGATGTTATTCGGCGTCAACTGCGAACGAAGATTTTCGAATGCCAACTCTTGAAGGTCCGTCAAGATTAGCCTGTAGGGTAAATCAAAAGAGATAAATAAGCTTGTATTTGTGGAATGCTCACCTTCACAGCCAAGCGATACATTGATTTGGGCGAGCATGCATCCGTTGTTGCGATTCGGGGACGTTTCATTGGACTTGAGAGAGGCAAAGGAGATTTCGCGAGTGTACAAATACGCCAGAAGGGCTTTCCAACTAGTATATGCAATCAGAATGGATCATGAATCCAATGAAAGCGACGCACGTCCTATACGCGGCGTCATTGACATGCCAGACAGACCCAAAGCGCTCTGCCCCTTGTACTTCTGCTTCATGGTTTTGGTCTCCGTAGTCTGTTAAAACTGACAACGGCCTATCAAGAGGCTCGGCTATGTCTTCTTCTGCTGGCGGGTCAAGAGTGTCAACCATAGACAGAGATGGCGATACTGTTCGTGGTGGTGACTCCGGTGGGTATGAAGACGGGCCTTGTGAAGGATGGACTGATGAAATCCGCTCATCATATGCTAGTTGACGGTTGGGATAATTGAATTCTGACCATGACAATTCCGAGAGTCAGTAATTACGCGCCGGGCAGAAGGAGAAGTTACCTGTCGTATGCGGCACCAGTGCAGCATCGATGTCCATCGTATCCTTATCACCATCGTCCTCATCAAAATCACTATCCGCGTCATAGTCATATGCACCCCATATCGCCGATTCGCAGTCATCCAAATCGAGGTTAACCGCCTTCACACCCGTACTATTAATGTCTGACAGCAGCAAGTATCAGTAACGTCCCCTTCACAATAATTGTTTGCGTACATTTGTCCACGAACGGCGTGTACCCTTTCAAGAGGGCACTGCTCGCGAAAATCGCCTTCGGATAGCCAACGTGTCCACGAGGTGACATGCGCGTGCATATGATAAACTTGAGATCAATAGGTAGTTTCCCGTCGCGTTGTAGAGTGGACGTTAAAACTTTAGACACCCTCGTCCAGGACGTAAGAGCGGGATGTAGTCGAAAAGGGAATGTGACTTCGATTTCGAGGGAGACGTTCCATTTCAAATCTGATTCTGCTAAGTTAACCCTCATGAGGAAGGCTTCCGTAGTCAGACTCTCGATCACCTTCACGATTTCAGTCTTCTTGAAGATGGACCCAAATGAAGCACGGAACGACAGGTCCCCAAGAGAGGCAAGTTTAGATGAGCTTGGCAGAATGTAGAAGTTGAAAGCTGCCCGAGATTGCAGTGGAATACGTTTGCCACCGATGATGTCGACGTTAATGGAACACTGAGCGATCCATCCTAATCCGAATGGCTCGCTTTTCAGTATATACTGGCCGACGTCTTTGAAAACCGGAACTGAGAAAGCGGACTTGACCTGCAGTGATGGAGATGAGAGCCATTCGTCGGGTTGTGTCTTTTCCAAGATCATCTAGCTAGCGAAGACGAGGAATCGAGGTGCTGTCGAAGGAAGCCGAACCTTATATACGGAAATTTTTCTCCGTGGGAAACCAGGTGGCTGCAGCGTGGGCATTCGTATTGATGGCATTAGGCGCCGTTATTAAAAGTATATAAACCTCTCGGTGCGCCAGTCCGACCGTAACTGGAAGCAAGGCCGTGATGAGCACAAGGTGGGGCCAGGGTCCGGGGAACATTGAAATTTGCACCGACGCGATGGGCCCAGAAGAAATAAGGGAATGACTGGTGATAATCCAGGTCCAACTTCCATGTTTATTCGACGATCCTTTATCGCTTCGCCGCAGGGAACTTGAAGTAAGGGATTAACGTGAAACGATACTACGATCCAGGATCCCTGGGGTTGTAGCCAACGAACTTGAAGTTGGTCGCAGAAGGATCACGTGAGTCCCGGGGCCGGACTCTCCGGTCATCACCGATCACCGATCGAATTATCAATACGTCTCCATCCCCTCTTCCACGATTCAAAGTACTCAATTCCTGCATTATTATATCTCCGAAATCAGTAAGAGAGCATAAAGGCCTACAAAAAGACTAAAAATATTGACCCCTAAGCGAGTTGAACGCTTGACCTTGTGGATTCAAGAACATTGGTTCAACTTCAGGCTGGAATCACACGCTCTACCACTGAGCTAAGGGGTCATTTACCTGAAGACATTTCGGCTTTATATATTGTACGGGCATCATCCTTTCCCAGACTTGGCCGTGTCAGCCCGTGCCCTAGCTCCTCATCTCTTTTCCGAAAGAACTGCATCATGGTCACGTCTTCGCTCGCCGCAACGATGAGTGTCAACATTGCGAAAGACTTCTAACGGTGCCTCAATGTTAACTCAATGTTAAACGTTGAGCTGGATGCGGCATATGCAAAGCATCTTTGGAGACAGTTACTCAGGGCCTCTCAGGGCCAGGCTGAGGCTGAGTTACAGTACAGCTGCCGGCCATGTTACTCAAGTTATCGCCTCCCTGGTGGTCCTTTGGGTCTGGAGGTTCCTCCATTTCACACCTCTTTGAGTCCTTTTATTATGTCGCCTCAACTTCCATGATGCCAGCTGTAGCACTTCCCTGTAAACCCAAATCTTGCTCTCGCCCGCAGTCCTGAGCCTCACGTTCAGTACTCTCTTCCACAGTTCAAACTGACGTCACCGCTTATCACAACGCTCCATTTCACACAAAAAATTCGAGCCCTGATGACTTGTTGTAACGAGTATTGAAGGCACCGGTGCTCCAGCGTTGGTAACGCTTGGATGGGATGAGCTTCCGATGTTGGTGAACAAAAGAGTCGCGCAGGGAGAAAGAGACGGAGATGTGGGCGCGAAATCTGAACTGGAGGACTGCGTGCACAAGCGCAATGGAATGACCTCTTTTATCTTTGATGCCTAAAGGACAGAAGCAGAAACGGTGCTTGATTCCCGTCAATAAACGACGACCTCGGTTACCGTACGCTTTCTGCTTGAACTTACTGTAAGCCCGCTCGCTAGAGCGTTTCGCGTGACAGCTCCATATCGTCTCCACGAAGAAATCCACCCGGATTTTGAATTATTGTTTCCGTCCTGGCATCCATCATCCGTACCGAGTCGTTCCAGACCTAGGAGATTGTATGCTTGGTTCGAGTTCGACATGCCACCTCTTCCACATAGCCAAGTACCTTGTTCAATCCAATCCGCGTCCTAGCACGTCTAATTTTTTCCCGGAAGCCCAAGTCGTGGTAGCGGCCTTGCTCGTAGCCTCAGCCTTTGAGCAACACCTCTAACCGCCCCGAGCATTTCGAGTCTGTGGAATCCGACTCTGCCTAGTATTTTTTTTGCCTCAGAGACATTTCTTCGTCGACGCCCTTCATCCTTGAAGACGTTGGTCTTTCATTCGGTTGGCCTTTTGTGTTTTCACCTCCCCCTACCCTCCTCGTTTGTACTCTTGTTGTCTACCCACGCCCTTTACGACTGAGTAAATCGGTCTTTCTGATCGTATCACTCCGTTTTTGCTAATAGCCATCATTCAAGTCATCTCCATGGCCCAGTTACGGTAGACTACCGAATGATTTCGGCTTCTACAAGGACCATTATTCAGACGCTTCATATATGCCTCTTCCGTCGCTCATTTTCCATAAGGCTTCGTTTCCTTATAGCATTGCATGTCTGGAGGAAGAAAAATGCTGAAATGGAGGCCTGTTGTGGCAGATGGATAACGGTTCTGCATAGCGAGCTGCATCTGTTGTTGTGCCACCCACGTTGACTGAGTTTCAGGTTCGGGTTCATAACTGTACGGACATAACCTTGGTGCGGGATCATGATAATTAAATTGATGTGACCGTTGATGATTCATGGTCGAAATAGTTCTGGACTCGGCTCAGTTGCCGTGGTTGAAGGCTGGCGGTCTTGGATATTTGCCTACGCATTCTGTCGCCGACTGACAACAGGCAGAACGAGGTAATTTCGACATCAATATTGTGCGATGAGGAGCGCACACGATGGAAAATTACCCTACAAGAACGAGAGCACTGATACCTTATCCAGTAGCGGCCGGAAGCCGTGTCCCCAATTCTTTTTTTTCAAACATCAGTTTTAGCAAAATATGGAAGTGCGCTATGAAAAATGTGGCAACTGCCCTGTTTATCTCGCGCGTGCATTATTAAAATTGTATTTTCTCACTATATCCAACATACAGAGAAGCTTGTTAAATATGAACGGATGCATGACACTAAGACAGTAAAAGGACCAAGCAAGGTTTCAATTATCCGCAGAATGGGGCCCTGGAACAGACATAATCTGACGCAGGGTGTACACAGAAAGGGCAAATAAGACATCGATCACAGGCGAAGCGCAGACCGTCATACAGCCAAAGTATAGTGATGGGGAATAAAGAAGCCTACATATGCCGGCGATACTCTTTGCTTTGCCCCTGATTGAGCCGTATGTACCAGGCGGTCCGCAAAGTAGTCGGATGGGTGTGCCGCATAGGGTTGTGTGGCTGTAAACGAGAAAAGAATAATAGTTCGTGGCGCCCACGACGAGCTGGGTCGAAGGGGGTGCCTTTCCCGATCTGCATACACAGGGAAGGCGCCGGCGGCGGTCTGCTCTCAGCAAAACCGTACTGGGCGATGAGTTCAGGCAGCGTTATAAATGCGAGACGGGGCAGCGAGAGGGGCAGTGGATGCTGGGGCAGGTCGAGAGGCGAACGGGACGAATGAGGCAACACTCAGAATCTGATTCCAAATCGAGTTCCCAATCAAAGGTCTCCTCTTCTTCCTCCCAATGCGTGTGATGCTGTCGAGCATCTTGGGTGACGAGGTCCCGGATGATGCTGAGTGTGTATTAGTGCGTACTGCTAGTCGTCAGCGACAGCGAGCACGGTAAGATCCAGAGGAGGGTCGACTCTTCGCGGGCATGAGCCATTCGTCGTCATCGTCCGACTCGGAGTCGTTTTCAGCGCCGCTTCGACCTTCACTTCATCGCCGTCTTTCTTTTGGAATGTCGTGGCAGTGTGATAGCTGGGTAAAGGGTTTTGGCGGCTGTCATCGGCCCGTCGCCTTCAACGTCGACGCCGCCTCAAGCTAGAAGCCTGTGACCTCATCCTCGAGAGCCTGCCATCCACATCTCGTCCGAGTCTTTGCCATCCATGTCAAAACCTGCAAACACGATCAGTACCATCCAAGGGATCGCCCCGGGATCACGCACCATCGATTAGAGTTTTGTCCCTCCATTCCAGCGCGATGCTCACAAAACCTGAAAAATGTCAGCGCACGGCGACCATGAATGCTGAAATATCAGCTCATACGCGATGTTAGCTTGTTTTCGTAGAAAATTTTGTTATAACGCATTAGTTGCGATATAACCGGACAAGGTCCCAAAAAGGAACGCCGGGATTCTGTGCCGCCACTAGTTGTGATACTTAGTTGCCAGCCAAGGACGTCTCACGGATTTAAAGTGTTATACGCACGGACCATGAGCAACGTAGACGACCGACAAACTGGCAGGGCGAGAATGACCGAAACCAAACGCAAGCACCAAGGACGCGCAATGTTGCAGCACACGATTTCGAAGAACAGCACGACAGCAGGAACGGCAGGAACGGCAGGGCCTATGGAACGGAACCAACAAAACGCAAACACTGAGTCAAGCATGCCGCCATCCAAGAGAAAAAGCGCTGCAGCAGGAGCAGCAGAACTTGGGCCCATGGAAACAACAAAACGTAAGCACCGAGCAAGTGCAATGCAGCACACAATTTCGAGAAACAGTGCGCCATCAGCAGCGGAGCTCGGGCCCATGACACGGGACGGGAACAACGAACAGAGTTGAGTTGAAGTTCGAGGGTCCGCTATTTCGGACCGTTTCTTTCCCACGCCTCCCGTCATTCTTCATCTCATCTCATCGTGACACAGCGCATTATCTTTAGGCACGATTGAGCGCTCTAGGGGCCAATCCTACGCCTTTTGTATCGTTCTCAGTTGAGTACGATTACTGAGGGGGCGGCTCATTGGAAGACATGTCCCAATTACTTATTCGAATTTCGATGACGGCGCATTCGGGTGACTTCTTCGCACCAGCAAAATTATTGGACGCTATGAAAGGTTGAGAATATTCCTGATGATGGAAGAACCTGCGGCATAAAAATCTGCTTCCGAAGCACGAGAGAAGAAAATGGATAATGCCTAGCCATACCTGTATAGCATGGCGAGGTGGTTCAAGTTATTATTATACTGCGCCAGCACCGCTCCCGCTCTAACTTGGTTCAGAGATTTCTTCTGAGCTGGTGAAACGGAATCACGATCATCAACCCGGGTGGGTTGATGCACCGAGTATTACTGATGAACCTTCTTTCAAATCTCTCGCGTGGGTGCTTAGTATATATGTACAGGTTCTCTCCCTTAGCTTCAGGTCCGGTAGAACAACCACAGACACAACATGCACCCCGTCCCCGCAGGTTACCCCATAGAACAACTGTAAGTTATAGTAATCGTGGAATCAAGCAGTGATATGTACTAAATTATCTCATTTAAGGTCCGGACCTCTGGTTTGCCAAATTGCGCGTTTGGTCCATTCAGTTGCTAACACGATAATGTCAGATCATTGCCTATCTCTTACACTGGGGACTCTTCGGGACACTTTCTGTGCAACTTTGTGTGTCGCTCCGAGTCACTCTCCAGTCCATCCGTTCCTGATGCATTCCCGTTAGATCTGTACTATCTAGCATTTCCGAAAGACAGACAATCTACAAAATGCCTTGTCTATGGAATCTACGTTGTCGAGTTTGCTCAGACGATGCTCGTTACCCATGACGCCTTTGCAGAGTTTGGGTATGGCTTCGGCGATATCGATGCCCTGACTGGAATGCATTTTGATTGGCTAACTAACCCTATCATGGGCACTATCGGTTTGTGTAGCCTCCATCGTCTGTCTGCTTTCCATTATTTATAATACGCACAGTTGCTGCTGTTGGACAGCTATTTTATGCATACCGAATCTTTGTATTGTCAAGATCACGAACCGTCCCTATATTCATCAGCTTTGTTCGTTGTCACGATCTTCCTCTGTGGCAGTCTAGCTCATCTTTTACAGGTGTCCTTGACGAGCTCCGTGGCCGCTATAATTACAGGGGCCTACTGTTTTCAAACAGGGAACATCACTGACACCCATACCACGCGGTTG